TGGTGAGGTCTCCCCCACATTCTGTGCCTGATTTGGGGCCTGACGAACGGCTACTACGGTGGCATGGCAATGATCCACTGCACCCGCACGCCGTCGCTGGTGATGGCTGGTCAGCGCTCCATTGCCAGCATCATGGCAAGTCTGGCACTTCTGTTGGGTCTGTTTCTGGGATCTTCCCTGGCCACGGGGGTGCTCAGGTGGCTGCCGCGATAGGACATACCTGGATCCGTGGTTTTCGACTTCCGCCGATGTGGACGCCGTTAACGGGAAGCATCATAATTTTTGGCGTTGACTTTTTTCTCTTCATTTCCCTTTTTTTTTTTTGTAAGCGTTGAACTTTTGTCTTTTCATATATTGTTTAATTTCTTTTTCTGTTCGTGTTGAGTTTTTTGTCTGCCCCCCTTTTTTTTCTTTTCTTTTTTCGTTGATGATTGTTTATTTTCCACCAATTCCAATGGACGTTTGTTTTTGAGGGTGGAGGTCTCCATCTGTTGAGGGGTGGGGGTCACAGCACCTCACCGTTTTTGTTTTTTGAGCACTCCCTCCCTCCCTCTCATTGCTGCTTCGCTGGCCACCTATTTCTCTTGCTTTATTTCTGTGCATTGTTGTTTTTATTTCTTTCTCATCGCTGCTCTCACGGCGCGATGTGTGCAATTGGTGTGCACTTGCGCAGCCAGCGGAGGTTGCATTGCATTTGCGCAGGCGTGGGGCGTGGGGCCTGGGGGTGGGGGGCGAGCTGTGGTAGATGGCAACTGCGACATCAGTGAAGGAGGCAATTGCCCACTTTGAGGAGGCGGAGTACGTCCGCCGCACCCGTGAGATGTCAGAGGAGGAGAAGGCGAGTGCGCCGCGCGTTGTGGCCGCGGAGGAGCCAAGGGTCCTGCTCATTGGGATGTTGCCGCCAATTGTGAAGATGGACAAGGACATTGCGACGCTCGTGAACTGCGAGCACCTTGGCCTGTCGACGAATGGCATTGAGAAGATTGGCCCCGGGTTGAAGGAGCTGAAGAAGCTTAAGATACTCTCGCTTGGGCGCAACGCGATTCGGAAAATTGAGCAGCTTGACATTCCGCAGCTAGAGCAGCTGTGGATGTCGTATAACAAGATTGACAAGCTTACGGGCCTGGACAAGCTGAAGAGCCTCAGGGTCTTGTACATGAGCAACAACCTTATCAGCAGCTGGACGGAGGTTGATCGCCTGGCCAACCAGTGCCCGGAGCTGGTGGAAGTTCTTTTTTTGAACAACCCAATTTGCAGCAACGCGCCGTCAATGCAGGAGTACCGGTACATGATACTGCAGCGTCTCCCCAAACTGACGAAACTGGACGGAGTGCCGGTGGATCCGGAGGAGAAGGAGGAGGCGGAGCGGCGACGCTGAAGCGCGGTGGCGGGAAGCGCCTGCGCGGTGCGGTGGGGGAGGGGGGTCCTGAGCGCCCCCCCACGGAATGGGAGAGGATGAAACTACGTGCGAGGGGGCATTGCTGCAGAAGAAGGGGGGAACGAGTGCGTGTGGGGCGGCGCGGAGTGCCGCCATCCATCCATGGATGCGGTGAGGCCGTGCGATTGGGTGGTAGCGGGAACTGACGAGGGGAAGGTGTGGGCTGCCAGCGTATTTTTGTGCCCTCTACGTGTATGTGAATAGGTTTGAGTGGTGTTGGACGCGTTGTTTCTGCTAAAGATCCGCTCCACATGGCAGCCCACTGCGGCACAAGGACGAGGAGGACTGATGCACCTCATCTGAGATTCGTCCTCTAAGATTATTTGAGCTTGTTCTGTAGCCCCCGTTGCGGTTGCCTCACCTTTTCTGTTGGTTTTTTGCAGGGTTTTGGATGGGGTGGAAGTGGCGGGTTTGGTACTGGCTGTATAGGGAGACCGAGCAGAGGCTAGGCCACACAGTTGTGTGTTTTCCCTTTTGCTTCCTGCAGAGCGTACGGTGATGGAAGTCTCTATTCACCTTGCGGACATGGGTTTTTCCTCTCCTTGTGTCATGCAAGACTGCCACGTGATTCCCGCGCGTAGTCATGCGGCAGCGTCCACGGATAAGGCGGCAGTTGAGACTGGTGGGGGCAAAGGCAGTGTTGATGCGGACGCCAGGGCGTTGCCCGAGGGGCTGTTGGTGTCTCACTACTTCCTGCATCACCACAAAACACATCGCAGCCCCCGTCCCCTGGCATTGCTCTGGCGCTGCGCGGGGCATGCGGGAAAGAGCAGCTCGTCGCAAGGGAGGTGATGTCTATTTTATCTCACAGGAGCGACAACGGCAGAAGGAAAGGTGCGCCACGAGGTGTTCCATATCGCCGACCTGAGCCTGTGTTGTGTCCCGACTGTTATGCCTGCCCGCGATGTAATACCCCTGCCTTGTCCATCTCCATATCGCGTCAATTGCTGTACGTGGCGTGTTGCCCGTACCGTCACTGGCGGCACGGTGATGCTTGTGGGGGATGTGGAGGGGCTTCTCGCCTTCCTGTTGTCTGTGACAGCGTCGAAGTTGATGCCTCCCCACCACAGCGCTGTCGCCGAGTAGCGTTGCTTGAGCGGCGAGAGACGAAGAGCCCGCGAGGAGAGGAGGCGTTGAGCCTCTCGCGTTTGGCAAACTCGGAGTTTTACCGAGGCAACTGGGGCGGTGGGTGGAGGGGCCCCAAGACACGCTGCAGTGGCGCTGGGGGGGCTTTGAAACGCCGTTCGTGAGCGAACGTTGAAGAGTGCAGGCAGTCTGTCTGAGTGGGGGTCCCCTTCGCCGCCACGGGGGATGATGGGGATGGCGACCGCGGTGCCGTGTGTGGAACAGCCACGGCGTCGCCTGAAGTGGGGGGAGGGGGTGAGAAGTGAGCAACGTTGTTTCGGAATGGCGCTGATGCCTTTGTAAGGGCGACGCAGCTGGAGCAGTATGGATTCTGTCCGTGCAGAGACGCTGTGCATTCGCCATTTCATCGTGGAGAGGCAGGTGGGCGGTGCCTTTGCCTCCTCTCCGAGGATTGCGTCTAGGCACGGGAGGCGCTTTCCGTCACTCCTTGGCGCAGTGGCGGGGAAAGTGCAAACGTCATGGTTGGCCTCGTGGTGGTGGTGACGATGCTGTCACCATGACGTGGCGAGGTGGCAGGGGAAAGAGTTGAGCAAGGCCTTGCTATAGCAGAGCTGCGGGAGGAGGTGGCCTTTAGGAAAACGCGGAACGGCAGTTCCTACTGCGGCTCTGAATGCGTGACGGTGCGTCTGGTGGGTCTTTGTCGTGAGAAGCTGGGGGCCGAGGCGAATCGTCGCGTTGCGCGCGATCGTCTGGCACAGCTAGCGGCGCTGAAGCCCTTAGGCGCAGTTACACTGTCCCTTGCGGATTCCTGGCCCCCTGACGTGATGGGATGACTGCAGAATCCACGC